GTTGTAAAACAAAAAATAAAGTTCATAAAAATGCTCTACAAATAAGGTCCTATACATATCTTACTTAACTCCAATATTTTAGCCGTTATTAACAAAAATCTGGAGGCAGTGTGTTCCGCCCCCTTACGGGGGGCTCCACCATCAAAAAACTATACACATAGGGTATGGATTAAATCACGCTTTGTGTAGAAATTCGTAAACCCATGTGGAACCTCGTTTCGCGTGGAAAGTATATACGTGGAGGCAGTGTGTTCCGCCCCCCCTGCGGAAAGCTCCACCATCAAAAAACTATACACAAGGTCTGGATTAAATCTCGCTTTGTGTAGAAAGTCTTAAACCCATGTAGAACCTCGCTTCGCATTGTAAAGTGTATGCGTAGATACAGTGGCTACCGCCCCTCCTATGGGGGCTTTTACAAGTTTTTTGATAATAACGACTAAAATATTGGAATTAGGTAAAATATGTATAGAACTTTATTTGTAGAACTTTTTATGAGCTTCATTTTTTGTTTAACAACTTTTTCCGTACAATGAATACTTTCTGAAATAATTAACAAAAACAGTTTTACCTTTGAGGGGAGCTGGAGGGCGGAGAGGGCATTTGCGCCAAAAATCCATTTAAGAATATAATTTACTAGATAAAATAAGTATTTAGGCTGAATATCAGCCAAATCGGAGGTGATAGCTTTTCGGAAGTCCACCCAAGGTAACTTCTAGTTAAGCAGATTAGGTTAGATTAGGATTAGGGTTAGGGTTAGGGTTAGGGTTAAGATATTTTTTTCATTTACGCATGCACAGATTATTTCCGCAACTCGGAACCTATACCTATACTGATCGATTTGTTTATGTCTCTCTATCAATTTTCATCGAAATCTAACTTGAATCATATAAATTTTACACTAAATTAAAATTGTATCCTATATTAATCCAAAATGCCATAAAATCTTGGATATATTATTGCGTAATTATATATTACGAAAAAAGCTTAATTCTCTTTTCTGATTAAAGTTAGCGTCAACGTCGATAAAGTCGAACCCTACGTATTTAATTCTACATGTTTTCGCAACCTTTCTGCTATACCGACTGTCTCAATCCACGTTACACGCAAAGCAATATCATGCAACTTTGACTGTGTTCAGAGATAGTTAATGATTAGCTTTCCCCTCCCAAACTAATTAATAAATTTAGAAGTATATTTTAATCATCCATAAACAATTACTCGACAAGTACATAACCGTTGCATTTTTTGATGACGCTATTATTGCACGCATTGAACAACTACTTGCTTATATAACCCATTGACTAACCTCCCTAACCTTCTTTATGACAAAAATCTAGAATATTCTTATCCACCATGTGGATTGCCAAATTAAACATTGTATCATGTTTAAAAATAATTATTATCAAACATGTTTATAAAATCTTTTTGTACAAAAAAATAAATATTACAGAAAATTGAATAACACAGTATAATTTAATGAACAATTTTTAAATAAACAGTTTTCTTCCATTTCAAATTTACTTCACAAATAAAGCAAAATTTGCTCAAACACTTAAAACATTCTTATATATTCAATATTAATATAAAATATATTAAACCCCTGTATGTAAAACGTAGTCTTTAATCTCATAAATGTAATAAAAAGTCTAACTACTTCTATAATTACTTATGTATGTATGTATGTATGTATGTAAGTACATATATATACACACATATATATATATATATATATATATTAACAAAAGTACTTACTGTTAGATCTGCATGTGTATTAATGCATATAGCATCTACATGTCTCTCGTATAATAGAACTCTAGCCATGTCACGAAGTGTGCTGCACGATTACTTCTGTAACACGTCAAATTATAAATCATATTATTAATCTTCATCAAACAAGAGTAATATTTTCAAATATTTATGAAAAAAATACCTTTCTATATATCTCAAATTAAAACTTAAACACGTTAACAGATTATGAACTGACTAGCATTATATACATGCTGCAATGAGATTGTCTATCTTTAATATGTCATAATCAATCTAAACAAATAATCTACAAGTGTACATATAAAAGTTAATAATCTATTGTATTTAAATACAATGTGACAATTATGTATATAATGTGATGTGCACATGTGTAATATGGCACAATTTTTAAGATTAAACTTGCGTTACTTTCAACAAGAAATCGTTTCCAATTATAAAATATATGTAAAGATTTTATATAACACATTATCTCTTTTAATTTAAAACGAAATGATAAAATAAACTTTTAGAGATCATCCATAATGTACCTGAATGTGCTGGATCATTGAAGAGGATACCAGAAATTACACTATATATTGATTTAAAACCAACAATTACACTTCGATCACGTCCTTCTAATAGCACAACAGTACTTCGTTAGATAAGATGATTAATCACTGAACGATACGCAACTTGGCAAGGCATTCACACACCCAATATCATCCAATTCTGCGTACTACTCCACTCCGCACTATCTACATCAAGACTAGCCAGCTAAGCAAGCTGAGCACAAAATGGCCGCGATATTAACAGAATGCGCACTGCGCGGTAACACAGCGAGCGTAATCGGAATCAAACCTAACCTAACCCTAGCTAACTGTACCTAGCCGTAGTCTAACTTATTCCTCTTTATCCTAAAAGCAACTTAAAAAATCTTCTTGATATTATTACTATTAAGACTATAAAGAAAAGTTGCAATACTTTTTTTCTCAACAACATATATTTCTATTTTATTAGTAAAATGAGTATGAGAAAATGTAAGACAATAAACTCCAGTCTGATAAGTTACCGACAGAGATGACTTGATAGTAAATGCAGTCACCTCTATATCATCTAAAACAATGCTCAAAATTAGATGCACATTTCGAATTGATTCCCGAGACGATACCTTTCATCTCCCCACTACCACTCAAGGTTTAACAGCTGAGTCACCGATACCGCGTCTAAGGCCGGATCTACAATAGATGTAGTAAGCTTTAAGCCATAAGATATTGATCAATCATAGTCAATTATTCTTTACACATTCGTCTGTGAATGGACAATTTCTTACGGCCTAAAGCTTACTACACCTATTGTAGATCCGGTCTAATATTCTGACGTCCCTGTGTAAGAAATAGGTTTGTACCTTTCATGAAATCGTTATTAATATTTATATAGGAACGCTCCTGAGTCGGAACATTAGACGCGCTATCGGCGGCTCGGCCGTCGAGCCTCGAACGGTAAGTGGGGAGGGAGGGGGGGGATAGGAGGCGTCGTCTCGGGAATCGGCTCGAAATGTGCATCTAATTCCGAGCACTGATTTAAAAGAATCCATATAAAATGTAATATTATGACAATAATGCAATATTATTACATTGTTAATAACTGATCTATATTAGTTTTATTATAAAATAAACTTGATAAAAAACAGAAAAACTTTTTCCATATTTACGTTACATGGCACGTTACTTTTTTATCTCATTCGTAATATACAGGGTGTCCGGTAATTGCTGAATCACCTCTTGTGTGCAGATAGAGCGGGTTACACCAAGAAGTCCTCGGTAGATAAGTCCTCTACCGTTTTGCGATTTTCGTAATAATTAATGAGAAATTAATTAAAAATCGGCCAATTTGCGCGACTCTAAGCAGCGAGAAGAGACAGCCCACTGGTCGCTAAGACGCAAGGATCTAGCGTTACGCACCGCTCGTATGTTGCCGTTGTCATTTGTAGGCGCTCCTCACAACGCTTTATCGCGCGCCTAGTAACCAAATAACAGTGGACTGTATCGCCACAGGTCTTTTCTCGCCGCGCTCTTAAACTCGTGAATTGGCCGATATTTTAAAATTATTTTCTCATTAATTATTGCAAAAATCGCAAAATGGTAAAGGACTTTTCTACTCGGTTTTACCCGCTCTATCTGCACCGGAGAGGTGATTCAGCAATTACCAGACATCCTGTAGATAAAATTATCAAGAGTATAAATTGCTTTTAAACTGTGTCACTAACAGATCAAAATACACACACATAAAAAGTACAACTATAGGCCAGATAAAAATACTCGTACAAAAAGTTTTAACTGTGTCGTCATTTAGAACCGAAGAAGTATCCGGATAATAACCGAATACCCGATTAATTAGGTAATATCCGAGATAACCGGGCAATTGGGTATTGATAGCACTAGTTTTAACTATATTTTTAACTAAATATATTTTCAATAAAATTTTTCATATAATAAAATAATAAATAATATTTCTTTATTAGATGTGACACAGCTATTTTTCTCGTTACTAAACATAATAAATAAAAAATATCGAAATTTTTATATAAAAGATCTAATGTATTGTGTCTTGATTGATCATTATTAATTGATTATTACGCAATTGCACATAACACTTAAAAACCTTGAGACATTTCATTTTTGTTATTTTCTCAATCATTAAAACTTCGATATTACTAACATCCTTTCACTACTTCCGCAATCGGATTACACTAATACCAAATTCATTTCATTGGTATCGTTATTTTATCAAGCGTGGAAACTCCTTCGATTTCGAGCGAGAACAACAACACTGCCAGGATATTCAATTTTCACGGATGCAATCTAGCACAATGGCGCGAAATCATTAACGATAAGAGCATTAGTACCTACTTACCAGCCGCAGAAGTCCTACGACAAAGTTTCCTACAAGTACAAGCTGTAAGCAGTGTAAAACACTATTCAAATATTCTCTTGAATTATGTATTTCCGTTGGGTGGTGGTGTAGTGGAAGATATGGAGGATGGGGATTGAAGGAGGCGAGAGACACAGTTAGATTCGAGCGGCGGAAGTAGAAGCTTCTCATGAAGGATTCAGGATAGCGCATTAGATTCAATTCCGTTTCGTTTTCTCGGAGCTGACACTCGTGTGTTCGCGCTGGATTAGACCGCAATTCCGCATTACGTTCGGACTGTACGTTGAAGAGTGCAGTATCCATTTGGTTCATTCGTTTGCACAGAATACATTAAGAATACTTAACTTAAAGCTCTTTATTACTCTAAAGTTGTGAAAACATCGAATAATTAATAACATGAAAATATGTCATAGCTTTAATCTAACTTTATTTGAATTCCAATAAAATCTAAATTATAGTATTATTTCTTATTGGAAAATAAAATCATTTTTATATGTGTTTTAACCCTCAAAACAGAAGCTTGGGCAATTTCTATTGCTAAAGATGCTTGCAGGCGGGTTCCTTATGAGAAAAAAGTTAGTGATGGGAACACTTCAAGGCCAAAAACCTGTAACATCAATCAATTTTTTATTAATATATATCGAGCAATTGAAATCGACGGTGAGTACAAAAGACCCATGAGTTCGGTTTTTGTTGTCAAAATTGGAATTTTAAAAAACATGTTTTTTCGTATGTATTCATTCTTCTCATAAAAATAAACATATTTTTAAAGTTTCGATAATATTTTATTCTAAACAGAATGTGAAAAAATTGCTGTATGCTTGAGTGAAGTGCGACAATCGCTCCGTCCTCGTTAATTTCAAAAAACAATATTTTTAAGCTCAAAAAGTATCCAATATTTTAACCTCATTTTATATGTTTTTATTTTATGAGATAATAATATAAGCACAAAATAAATATCAGAATTTTTTTACTAATTTACATGTTTTTATCTCTTCTAAAATATGTTTTCATACATTCTAATAATTATCTTTTTTTTAAGCGACAATAATTCTCATCAACTCATCAACTATGAGCTTTGTACTAAAGAACTTCCAGTGTTTTTTATAAGTCAAATTTAAAAAAATAAATGTTTTAAATATGCTAACATACAATTGCTCCTCGAAAAACAATAAAAATCAAATATTCAAAATAAACTTTTCGCCAATTTCATTATTTGGACATTTAATTAACACTTCAATAAACTTACGTGAATTTTTTGATCACCTTAACATTATTTAATAAGGAGCCGACACGAGAGAAATCCATAAGATCAGGTTTATATTGACGAAAAACAATCCGTTTTGTGGGGATTAATTATAAATACTTTTTAAACTTTTTATTATATATGAGATTGAATATTATCTAGAATACTCTTTTGTATTTATGATATATATATTTATGATATATATATTATGAGGTTATTTATTCATTTATTTTCTTGTTATTGTGATGAATCACGAATATTTACCGTTAAATGAAACAGCATACAGTGCATATAAATCTAAAGAAACAGTTCCGAGTATCATGAATCCAGAATCATTGGAGGGGAATAGCGTTACATTTTAATTTCTGTTCCAGTGGAAGAAAAAAAAAAGAATACGAGAAGCTCGAGTGATGGCGGTAGCAAACGAAACCGAGACTAGCATTAGGAATGAATAATTCCTACAATGAATTTTTCCGGATGACACCACCGTATTTGTCGGCGTCGGCATCAACGTCGCTGGCCCAGTCCTAAAACAACCAGTTATAAACACCTCGCCCACGGCTCTTCACATCTATCATCGTGGCCATCTTCTATCAATCATATCTTCTACTAACCACAAATCAATTAAAATGCTCATTCGACATCATTCGTTTATTTCTCTATTCAAAATTTCTCATTCTACTATTTTGCATGGAATGTCCCAATGATATTTACCATCTTCCAAAATTATCAGATCATCCGTATTTGCCGTAATATCAGTTCGTACATAATGTAAGAGATATAATTAGAGAATGGTATTATTTTTAGTTCGTCAATACACAAAAATACTCAAGATTATTCTGTGATAATTATTTATAACAAAAGTTGCATATTGACACAAAACAAGAAAGATCAAGTGTATCATTCTTCAACAAATAATTGCACTTAATAACGATCTACACCGCAAGTTGCTTGTTCGAAAAGACAAATAATTGTCATAATTGTTTCTATCCATCACTGACGGCCGTAAAAAATGTTATTGAATGACGTCAACAAGAGAGCAGGTGTCGCCGCTGAAAACACATCAGCCCAGCTTGCAGTATTAATAAAGTTTCTTCAATTCCGAGAATCTCTCGATCGATTAGACAGACATGTAATTGGTTGGTCTAAAGACAAGAACTGCAACGATGCGGGCGGTAGTTGCAAGATGAGAGAGTAGGATTGCAGCAGTATGAGTACAGGAAGGTGGAATCCCGAAGGCGCTCCCGGGTGCATCCACTTTGCTGTTGAGCGACGTGGAAACTTCCTGGGGCTGTCCAAGTTTTCTAAGTAATTAAAACCACTTAACACGATTTCACCTAACTTTCTGATATCGCGGCGAGAAATCAGTTTTAAATTGCTTCCTCGGAGGGGGAAAGGATTGGATGGAAGGACAGTGGTGGGAGTCACGGCGCAATCATGACTTTCTGTCATGACAACTTTTAATTACGTCATCGAAATATTTTTCGCCAATCGTATTATACGTTTGCGATTCATCCTTGACTTTCATTGATTTGTTTCACGAAAACTTTTGAGCCCCTTTTGTTACAACGAGGAGTCATCCTCGATTTTGAATTTGAATCAGTAAAAAGAAGTTTTTTAATTAACTTTTTATCCACAATATTATATTACACTGAATTAAAGTACTATTCTAAATTAGATTTTTTTAAATTTTTTATG